AAGCCGGAAGTGGTGCTGTAGCTCAAGTGGTAGAGTGCTAGCCTTGAGCTGAAGAGCTGAGGGACAGCGCCCAGGCCCAGAGTTCAGGCCCCGCAACTGAACCAAAAAAAAAAAAAAGAAGAAGAAGAAGAAGCAGCAGCAAGCAAGAAAGGAGAGGGAAGCAGCCAACCTAGAATGTGATCTTTGTTGAAAGCCCAGAGCCAGTAGGTGGGCCACACCTGTAATTCTAGCCAAGGCCAACTTAGACAAAAAGCAAGACTCCAGCTCAACCAATGGCTAGGCATTGATTGTGCTTGTACCTGTCATCCCAGATAGATAAAAGTATAAATAGGACGATTGTTATCTCCAAGATGGCCTGGGCAAAAACATAAGATCCTCTCCCCAATAACTAAATAAAAAATGGCTAAGGGCATGAATCTAGACATAAGACCACCTATTTAGCAACTGTGAATCCTTTGGTTTAAACCCAGTACTCCTGGTGACTCACAGCTGTAATCCTGGCTACTCAGGAGGTTAATGTATCCAGAGCCAGTAATTTGTTTCAGATAGGGACATAAGGCTCTAAAAAATCACAGTGGCTCAGTGGTAGAGTGCTTGCCTAGCATGCATGAGGCCCTGGGTTGGATTCCTCAGCACCACATAAACAGAAAAAGTCGGAAGTGGTGCTGTGGCTCAAGTGGTAGAGTGCTAGCCTTGAGCTGAAGAGCTGAGGGACAGCGCCCAGGCCCAGAGTTCAAGCCCCATCACTGACAAAACAAAAAAACAAAAAAGTCATCGATTCTTCCATGTATCAATGGAATGCACTGGGGAGTGGGAATGGAGGGAAGGGAACTGCTGGTAAAGTATCCAAATCCCTAGGCTGAATTCAATTTTTTTTTAGGTAGATCCTGGAGCACTCAGGAAGTGGAAACAGGATTGAGAGTTCAAATAAACCTGGGTTACATAGGAAGACCCCCGATCTCAACAAACAAATACAAGAAGCCCTCACACTCTTTAAAGAAAAGTCTCAGGTGGTATCCTTCAAAAGGATATTAAAACCAGGAACCAGTGATGCAAACCTATAATCCTACTCAGGAGGCCAAGAACTTGAGAGTGGGTTCGAAGCCAGCTGAGGCAGGAAAGTCACTGGGATGCTAATCTCCAATTAACCAGCAAAAAGCTGGAAGTAGCTGGACACTGGTGGCTCATGCCTATAATCCTAGCTACTCAGATAGCTGAGACTCATGAGGGTTGTGGTTTGAAGCCAGCCTGGACAGGAAAAGCCCATGAGACTCTATCTCCAATAAACTGCCAAAAAAGCTGGAAGTGGAGCTATGGTTCAACTAATAGAGCCTTTAGTGAAAGAAGCTCTGGGACAGCACTCAGGCTCAGAGTTCAAGCCCTAGGATTGGCAAAAAAGTTCAGGGCAGAGCTGTGGCTCAAGTAGTAGAGTATCAGCCTTGAGGGACAGAACCCAGGCCCTGAGTTCAAGCGCCAGCAACAGTAGACACACATGTAGACACACACACACACACACACGATATTAAAAATAATCTAGGGCTGGGTGCTAGTGGTCATGCCTATAATTCCAGCTTAGACTGAGATCATGGTTCAAAGCTAGCCCTGGCAGCAAAGTCCATGAGACTCTTATCTCCAATTAACCACCAGAAAACCAGAAGTGGCACTGGGACTCAAAATGGTACAGCCTTGAGAAAAAGGCTCAGGAACAGCACCCAGGCCCTGAGTACAAGCCCCACGACCAACTAAAAAAATAAAATAAAAAATAATAATCTAGGCACACAGAAGCAACAAAGATACAAATTTAAAAGGATCAGCATTCAGTCCCTATGGTGCTAGGAGACTAACAGGACTTGCTGGGCGCCAGTGGCTCAAGCCTGTAATCCTAGCTACTCAGGAGGCTGAGATCTGAGGATCTTGGTTCAAAGCCAGTTGAGGCAGGAAAAGTCCCTGAAACTTTTATCTCCAATAGGGAAACTCTTATCCAATAAACTACCAGAAAACCAGAAGTGGCAGTGTGGCTCAAGTGGTAGAGTACTAGCCTTGAGCTGAAGAGCTGAGGGACAGCACTCAGGCCGAGTTCAAGTCCCATGGCCGAAGATTGGGGTGGAGAGGGAAGACTAGTTGGATTTGTATGTAAGAACCACTGGTGGCCTTTGTAATCAAGAGAGCAAAAGGGGAGACTGATGCAGTGATCCTCATTACAGGGTTTACTAGGCCTAGGCTTATCATTAAGAATATCTAACCTGACTTTCACATTTTAGGTGAAGTGTAAAGTTCTCAGAGAAGTCAAGAATCTTGAGTGAAGCAACACCTTTGAAGGTGCGAGTGTGAGAAGGCATTACAATTTTGTTTATCTGATTTTTTATTTCTTCTGTTTCTTATGCTGCAAGACACCTATATTCGCTGCTCCCCCCACCCCCCCAAAAAAAAGAAAAAAAGTCCTCATTTTCCAAAGTCCACATTTCCATCCCTTCCCACTGCCATCTCCTAGAGATTCCTTATTATCAGGCATTCTTTGAACTGTAGTCTCTAGGCCCTGAGGATTCCATCCATCTCTTAGGGTTTTTTTTTTTGGCCAGTCATGGGGCCTGAACCCTGGGTCTGGGCCTGGGCATTGTCCCTCAGCTCTTCAGCTCAAGGCTAGTGCTCTACCACTTGAGCCATAGCGCCGCTTCTGGCTTTTTCTGCTTATGTGGTGCTGAAGAATTGAACCCAGGGCCTCATGCATTCAAGGCAAGCACTCTACCACTGAACCACCTTCCCAGCCTCTTAGAATAGTTTTTTTTTTTTTTTTTTGGGTCCGGTCGTGGGGCCTGAACTCTGGGCCTGAGCACTGTCCCTCAGCTCTTCAGCTCAAGGCTAGTGCTCTACCACTTGAGCTGGCTTTTTTTGCTTATGTGGTGCTGAGGAATTGAACCCAGGGCCTCAGTCATGCAAGGCAGGCGCTCTACCACTGAGCCACCTTCCCAGCCCCAGCCCCGTTTATTTTTAACATTCCCTAATATATACTATTAGAAGTCAATAGGTAACATAAGGTTGCAATAGTCTAGAAAAACAAGGAAAATTGCAGTAAAAACAGTGCAGTAAAAACAAGACAAGGTAAACAGGTAGAAAGTAAAACTCTGCAGACGTAGCAAAGCAATCCTGGGCACCTGGTGTTTTTTAAGTAAGCCAGTTCCTTGTACGTGCCTTCAAGTGAGCACCGGGGTCAAGATGACCTTTAAACTTTACTGTCGGCTCCCAGCATCTTCAGACCTTAATTAATGTTGAATTCTAAATAAATTGCAGCCTTTAAGAAAAAAATAGTGTTTTGTAATTCTTTAATGAATCAATAGAAGGGCACTATGCTTTGTGAGACTTGAGAAGTGCCATTTAAATAGATGTGAGGATGAGAACATCTTTTCTCCACATCCCTCCCCTTTGGTGCAGTGATTATGCTTAAAATTAGGGACTTGTGCCCAACTCTGCTGAGGACCAGTTCTGTGACCTTGGGCAAGTGACTTTGCCTCTTTGTGCCTCAGTTTCCTCCTCTTTTGTTATACTGGCAGTAATAAACACTCTTGTTTCAAAGATTCATTGTGAGGACTAAATGAAGTCATGTCTGTGGAGTGCTTGGCATTTGGAATAAATGGCAGCTGGCTAGTCCCCAGGGGCAAGTGACCTCACCTCTCTGTTACTACTCCTTAAAATTGAAATAAGAATGCTGTAGCAGAGGCCAGTCTAGAGGGCAGACTGCTTTGTGGAGGGGGTGTTCTGGAGAAAGCATGGCTCCATTCTTGACTTCAAGGTGAGTACTCTGGTATATGCTGTATGCTTTTGTGGCTCTCCATCAGTAGTGTCTGGCTGTGCTGTGAGTGTGACCCATGACCCTTAGTTTGCTCTCAGAGAACGTGAAAAGTGAAAGAACCTTAGGTAAAGGATCTTGTGTTGACCACTCCTGATGTGGGAAGGAGGGAGGATTTTTCTAGATGGAGGAATCTGGCCAGACTTCTTGGAGAGGTGGGAAGGACTTTGGATCTTGAAGGACAGGAAAGAGCGCAATAAAAGCAATTACACATGCTGCCTCACAAAGCCCTTCTGTGTCATGGATGCACCTGACCCAGACTTGATGCCAGGTCAGGAAAGCACTTTGCAGCCGTGTGAGAAGGTAGAGGGAATGGCATGTGCAAAGACAAAGCCCAGCAAGAGAGGTGCTGGTAGCTTAGGTTGAGGGGCTGACACAAGGCCAGGAATCTCAGGAGATCTGGTCAGCCATCCAGACCTGAAGTCCCAGCAACAGCTCTTTGGAATGGGTCATGGAGACTTCCAGAGAGGAACAAGTCTCAGCGATGTGAAGGAGGTGAAAGCCAACATCCATCCATAGGGCTTGGCCCCCAACCGGATGCCAGGCCAAGCGGAAGTCTTAAGAGCTCAGTTATCAGTCTTAGGCATTGGGTTGGGCTGAGAGGCATTATCTCCAGTGTGAGGAAACAGGAGGACCAGGGGAACATGGAAGACTTTTCTGGGCACTGAGCATCTGATGCCCTGTGGGAAGGACCTCTGGGAGCAATCCCACAACAGGTTTCTGGGACTTAGGGTGGAGATCCATGCACATTGGGGTGTCAACAAGGGTTCTTACTCTGGACATGGAATTGAGATCCTTTCATCCATCTGAGTCTTACCACAACTTGGTCAGAGCCACACTGCCAACTTGGTCAAAGCCATACTGCCACTTATACAGCTGAAGTTGTTAGCTCAAGGACTGGAACAAGGCCTGATGCTGTGTACATTCGTGCTTCAGGGCTGTCTGGATGTGTGGGTAGGCAGGCAGACTGGAGAGGAGCTTTCATCAGCCAACTTAAAACCAAGTAAAACAGCCAGGCTCCCGTGGCTCACGTTTGTAATCCTAGCTACTCAGGAGACTGAGAATTGTGGTTTAAAGCTAGCCAGGGTGAAAAGTGTATGAGACTCTTGCTCCTATTAACTACCAAAAAAATCTCCAGAAGTAGAACTGTGGCTCAAGTGGTAGAATGCTAGCCTAGCAAAAGAGCTCAGGGACAGTGCCAAGGTTCAAGCCCCAGGACTAGCATTTTCATCCCCCCCACCCCCAAAAAAAGGAGAGCAAACAAGTAAGACAGATTGGATAATCATACATACACACACAGACACACACCAAACCCAAACCAAGTAAAACAAATTGGCTGTTTGGGTGGTTAGTACTATCATTTAGGAAATGAGGTCTGAAAACGGTAGGGAAGCAGTGTAGTTCTGGATCAAGAGAGGGACAGCCTGGCCACCATGCTTACTCATGTCTACCTGCTTCTCTTTCCTTCCTAGACTTACGCAGAGATGGACCCCACAACAGCGGCTTTGGAGAAGGAGCACGAGGCGGTAAGCAAGGACAGGGCTCCCAACTGGGCCCTCCTTCCCCCTCCCTTGCCTTCTCCAAGCCCTGCACTGCCCCCCGCCTTCCCCCTCTCTGCAGATCACCAAGGTGAAGTATGTGGACAAGATCCATATTGGAAACTATGAGATCGATGCCTGGTATTTCTCGCCATTCCCTGAGGACTATGGGAAACAGCCTAAGCTGTGGCTCTGCGAGTACTGCCTGAAGTACATGAAGTACGAGAAAAGCTACCGCTTCCACCTGGTAAGGCTGGGCCCAGCTGGGCAGAGACAGGCACAGAGGCTGAGGGTGGGCCAGCTATTAGCACCAGGGAAGACATTCATACCCAGAGTTGCCCAAAGCTCAAGAAGATCTACATTTCAGGGTGACCTTGGCTTACTCTCTGCCTATTTCCAGACCTGTTTCCTTTGTATGGAATAGGACAGATAGCAATCTCTCAGGTTCCTTGCCCTTTGTGCAGTTCTAGCAAAAGAAAGTCTCTGAGCAGCGGGAAGACCTGGTGGGAAGAACTCTATGTGGCTGCCAGGAATGGGGTGCTTATTGCTTATTATTAGCACTTGAGGTGTTTCTTAAAATGTGGACCTGGAGGCAAATAAATGTGGTTTAAGAAAACCAGGGTACCAAGTGCTGGTGGCTCACACCTGTAATCATAGCTACTCAGGAGGCTGAGATCTGAGGATCATGGTTCAAAGCCAGCCCGGGCAGGAAAGTCCATGAGACTCTTGTTTTCTTTTTGGTCAGTCTTGGGGCTTGAATTCTGGGCCTGGGCCCTGTCCCACAGCTCTTCAGCTCAAGGTGAGCGCTCTACCACTTGAGCCACAGCACCACTTCTGGTTTTCTGGTGGTTTATTGGAGATAGTGGGTCTCACAGACTTTGCTGCCTGGGCTGGCTTTGAACCGTGATCTTCAGATCTCAGCCTCCCATGTAGTTAGGATTACAGGTGTGAGCCACTCGTGCCCAGCTCCATAAGACTTTTATCTCCAATTAATTGTCAAAAAAAAAAAAAAAAAGCCAGGGGGCTGGGAAGGTGGTTCAATGGTAGAGTGCATGAGGCCCTGGGTTCAATTCTTCAGCGCAACATAAGCAGAAAAAGCTGGAAGTGGCTCTGTGGCTCAAGTGGTAGAGTGCTAGCCTTGAGCTGAAGAGCAGAGGGACAGTGCCCAGGCCCACAGTTCAGGCCCCATGACCAACCAAAAAAAAAAAAAAGCCAGAAGTAGAGCTATGGCTCAAGTAGTAGAGTGTTTACCTTGAGCAAAAGAGCTCAAGGATAGTGCCCCAAGCCCTGAGTTCAAACTCCAGGCCCAAGCTTTTTAGAGCGAGGTCAACACAGAATTGAGTTCAGGTAGCTGTGATGCACAGGCAAATTATCAGCCTGTCTGTGCCGAGTTTGGAAAGAGATCCTGTTTTCCAGATGAAGAGAGCAGGGAAGACTACTCAAAATAGGTAGTGTTTGAACACAGCGTCTGCAGATGGGGAAGGAGAGGCAGGGACTTGCTCCAAGTCTCTTGCACTAGCAGAGAACTTAAGGGTCCTAAGTCTATGCTTTCTCCCCCTCCCCCAGGGCCAGTGTCAATGGCGGCAGCCCCCAGGGAAGGAGATCTACCGAAAGAGCAACATCTCCGTGTATGAGGTAGATGGCAAAGACCATAAGGTGAGCTGGTGGCTTGGTGCTGAAGGTCTGTGGGCAACTCTGCCTGGCTGACTGCCGCGGCCACCCCCTGGCACTGTCCAGCCCCAGGTGCGCTTCCTTGAGGAAACAGGCTTGTGATTTGCACGGAGTGAACACTTGGGCCCATGCTGCCAGCCTCAGGCCCTGTCTCCTTTGTCCCTGAGGACTTCTCTTCTGACGGGGTAGTTCAGATTTGAGTTGTTTCAGAACTCAGAATGGAAGCTGTCTTGCCGGAGGCTGCTCTGGGACAGCTTTCTCTTCCTGAAGGAAGGAGTTTAGTGTGCCTGGGAGGGAGCTGCTTTGTGTCTGTGGCTCCAGCTAGCTGAGTTCCTTGTTCTGGCTGAGTGACTTCCGTGGAGTGGGGAAGAGGCCTGGTCAGTCTGTGCAGACCCCACCCTGTGTCTAGTTTCCCTTAGAAGGGCCTCGTAGTACAAGTTGATAAGGGCAGGCCTGGGGGCAGCCCCTGGTTCGCTTTGCCCCGTCCCTTGGGGGTTGACCTTAGAAAACCTAGTTCACTTTGATCTGTTCCTGTTTCCTCATCCCTAACACAGGAGTCATAATGATTTACCTAGTCTGCTTATTGGTAGAAGAAATGAGACTGCAGGTATCTAGAACGTCACACTTGGGTAGCACCTTGCAGGTGCTTAGAAAGCATGGACTTTGGTGGTAGTGACCTAGGTCACCAGGCTTCCTTATGCTAGGAAATCCCCACTTCCACCCTGGTCCTTGCCTGGCACTCTGCCTTCCTGAGCATGTACTGGTGCTGAAAGAAAGGCCTCCTGCCAGGTGCTGGTGGCTCACACCTGTAATCCTAGCTACTCAGGAGGCGGAGATCTGAGGATCGAGGTTCAAAGCCAGCCCGGGCAGGAAAGTCCATGAGACTCTTATCTCCAATAAACCACCAGAAAAC